TTTTAACTGTTGACAGATGTTGCCTGACAGAAGGGACACCTGGAATGGCACAGCTGCTTTAAGAAGAAAGAATCAAAGTTGGCTTAAAGTTTTGTAATCAATATTTGTGATCAATTAAAAAGACTCAGACACAATAAAAACAGTAATTTGAAAAGATACATGCATCCCAGTGTTCACTGCAGCATTATTTATAATAGCCAAGACATGGAAGCAACATAAGTGCCAAGCAACAGATGAATGGATAAAGAAGATGTGGATAAAGAAGACAGATAAAGATTTGAAAAGATACATGCATCCCAGTGTTCATTGCAGCATTATTTACAAAAGGTAAGATACGCTGCTGCTGCTGCTAAGACACTTCAGTAGTGTCCGACTCTGTGCGGCAGGCCAGCAGGCTCCCCCGTCCCTGGGATTCTACAGGCAAGAACACTGGAGTGGGTTGCCATTTCCTTCTCCAATGCATGGAAGTGAAAAGTGAAAGTGAAGTCGCTCAGTCGTGTCCAACTTGTAGTGACTCCATGGACTGCAGCCCACCAGGCTCCTCCGTCCATGGGATTTTCCAGGCAAGAGTACTGGAGTGGAGTGCCATTGCCTTCTCTGAGCCAAGACATGGGAGCAACATAAGTGCCTAGCAACAGATGAATGGATAAAGAAGATGGATAAAGAAATGGATATGACTCAGCCATATAAAAGAATAAAATAATGCCATTTGCAGCTACATGGATGACCTAGAGAACATTATATTTAGTAGGAGAAATCAAACAGAGAAAGATAAATACTCATTACTTATATGTGGAATCTGAAAGGCAAAACAAAGGAATATATATCACAAAACAGAAACAGATGCACAGACATAGAGAACAAACTGGTGGTTATCAGTGGAGAGGGGCTTCCCAGGTTGTGCTAATGGTAAAGAACCCACCTGCCAATGCAGGAGACGTAAGATATGTGGGTTCAGTCCCTGGGTTCCAGTCGGAAAGATCCGCTGCAGGAGGGCATGGCAACCCACACCAGTATTCTTGCCTGGAAAATCCCCATGGACAGAGGAGCCTGGCAGGCTACAGTCCATGCAGTTGCAAAGAGTTGTACATGACAAGTGACTTAGCTCGCACACATGCAAGTATTAGTATAAATAATGTACCTGCTAAATCCTAGGTATGTAAATAACATGTAAATATATTATGTAAATACTTAGCATCTATGAACCCATCTCCCAAATGAAAACAGGATCAGAAAATAACTCATATCTACTCATACATTTCCCAACTAGCATCACGTCTCTCCTCCCCACCATCATCTTGAATCCTGAGCCCATTAACTCCTTATTTTTCTTTCTGTGTAGTTGTATTCCTAAACTGCTCGTGGTTTTAAAACCATGCTTTAACCTATATAAAGGGTGTCATGTGATCTTTGGGGACCTTCTTTTTCACTCAGTATCCTGTTGCTAAGATTCATCCATTGTGTGGAATGTTGCTGTCCTTCATTTGTTAAGCTCCTTTGCTGTCTTACAATGAAAGGTCCTGATGTCATGACTGTTCTTGAGAAACATGCTTACGTTCTTGCTCTTCCTTACCCCATTGTTCCTACTATTTTAGCTTAAAGGCCTGATGGACATCGTGTATTTCAGGAAAGAGGAGTCTCTCTGGCTCATGTGCCATGAGGACTTTGGGGTTCACAGCTGCATGGATCTTATGGCCTCACTATTCATCACATCTTTGTCCATTGTGATTCTCAGAAACATATCCACGACAGCCAGGAGGCCCTCCTTCTTAAAATGAAGCATTTCTCTTCAGTCACTAACCAAGAGGACAAAATAGTGACTCATGGTGTTCGGGTTTCAAAGGGTGAGTAAAGGGAAATGTTAATATGACTCAGAATATACCCAATGGCTTTTGAGTAAATAACCCCAAAATAGCCTTTTCCCCTTCAGGTTCCTGAGTGAGAGCAGTGTGGTGATCCTTTCCTCAGGGAAGCAGCGCGGTTGGGTGGGAACAGGCTGGCTCAGGCAGGCAGAAGTACCAGTGACTATAAACCACCCGCTTGAACTCTTACTTTGTGACCTTGAGCAAATCATTGAATTCAATGGCACTTGGAGATACCTTCTGAGCTCAGAGATCAGGCGGCCTGCCTTCTCCATTCATACAAAACTCAACCCATTTGCAGTTCTTAAAATGTCTGAGTAGGGTTTACAGAAACAGCCCGGCTTTTCTTTATTATTCCAGTAAAATTTGCGGAAACAAGGTTCTGGGGCCAGAGAGTGCCTGTGTTTGGCCATGACGTCCAGGCCTCCCTCAGCCCAACGCTCTCCAGCACAGAGGCGGCTGTGGGATATTCTGGGGCTGGTGGAGGGCCGCTCAGGCCCCACCTTCTTTCACTCTTCCAGCTTCTCTGGGAACCACAGGTTATTATTTGTGCTCTTTGATGCTTGTCTGAAGGCTGCGTACAGGACATTTTCAAAGGTGGAAAACAAGAGAGTGGGAGATGGAAAGGGAGGGAAGAAAGGAGAAAGAAAGTCTAACCAGGGCAAACATTAAAATAAAATGAGCTTTGTGCCATAAATTAGGGGGTTGGCAGAGTGGCTTATTAATGCAGCTGAGGTATTTGAAATGTAGAATTTGCTGGGTTGGCAGATTAATCCCATTTATGCTGCAGAAAGTATTCCATGACATTAAAGGATTTATTTGTTTGCTAATCTGCTTCAGACTCCAGAGGCCTTGTTATAAAATAAGCAGGTGGAGGAGAAGGAAAGGGTCAGAAAGAGGGGTTGGGAGGAGACAGGGTTTTCATCCCCATTTCTGCTGTGAATTTTATGTACCCAGTGCCTAATGAGGGCTTTGAAAACACTATATGACCCAGTCCATAAATATAGCCTGGTTTACTTATACCATGGACAAAGTAGAGGGTTTTTGTTTGTTTTTAGAGTTAATGTGACCATTTTTTTGGTAAATATTCAAGCAAGAAGATACTACCTTGGCTATTTCAAACATAGATGTTGAAGCACTTGTTTGAGAAAGAAGCAAACGAAAAGTGTTATTTCGGCGTCTAACAAGCTTTAATCCTCATCATTGGATTTATTGGGAGTCACCATAAAATTTGAAGCAGTCTCCTTTCTTCCGACTTTTTAAACCCCTTCCCCCCAAAATCAAACAAACATTTGCTTTTCTGTTGCCTTTTTCCTCATGGATGGACACAGGGCAATAGCCAAACATCCTCTTAATCTCTTTTTCAAAGACTTGAACCTCCTTTCGGGTAAAGCAGTCACTTTGTTTTGTTCCCCAGCACCTTGACAATGCCGAGAAAACATAATCCTTCACCTAGAATAGAATCTCAGATTTGCTGTTCCATTACCCGGTAGCCTAAGCATTTGTATTAAAAGACAGTTAAGCCTTTTTCAGTGAGGCATTTCCTTCCTTACCTTCCTCACAGAAAGTTCTGCTTTATTTTTAGTAATATCCTGGCTCCTGGTATTGTATTTGTGCACATAATCCCTTCACAATAATGCTTAGCGCTCTGGTGGCACCTTTCCTCCGAGGAACTCAAAGGCCTTTACAAACATTAATTGGTTCTCACAGCACCTCCATGAGATGCGTGAGTGTTCCATTGCAATTGGTATATTATTATCCACATTCTGTGATTTTGCCAGAATTCTTTTGCCTTCTTCCCCAGTGCACTTTCTAATGGAATGTACCTGGAGTCCACTAGGGCTGGCCAGTTAGGACCACAGTAAAGAGTGAAACCTGTTGAAGGGAAACATGAAAGAAAGATGTGAACTGTGGTACAAGTTGCTTGGCGGTGTCCACCTCCACTGACCCTCCAGGGACGGGGAGGAGGGGGAAGACATGTGGGCCTTATCTTCTCTGAAGCCAGAGAAGCCTGACACAGGGCAGCAATGACGGACAACTTCTGCCCAGAGTGTTGAACAAAATCCTGTGGTTCCAAGCTCTGACTCCTGTAATTCCAGGTCTGATATGCCCTGTGATGGTGAACTCTAACCTGCCCTAAGAGACAAACAGTACAGATTATCCCAGGAGCCACTGGAAAAAAATCCTTACTGTTCTTTGGGTTGGCACAAGCTGGCTCTGTGCTAAAACTTCACTGTAATTTTTTTTTGGGGGGGTACATCAACTTTTTGTGAGAAAACCTATCAAAAATCTCAAGATTTCCCAAAAGCGTGGGCCATTGTGAAATGTTTAAAAATGAGTGTTAATGTTTACATATCAACTTGAATGATTCTACCTCCTCCTAGTTTTTACTAGATATTTTATTACTAAAATGGGAGCGACATGGAGGGATAATGTGGTGAACGGTTACAGATGAATACAGGAGACAAAGAACCAGATATCTCTCCTGACAGAACCTCAGAAAGCTCAGTAGCAGCAGCTGAAATGGTCCTTTGACTCTCAGCCAATAGGCTCTTTTGCATTCATTCAATCACGCTCATCAAATTTTCTGAATTTCTACTGAGATGTTCTACAGAGGAGAGCAAGCACAAAAGAGCAAGCACACACACATTTGTGTGTGTGTGTAACTATGCAAATTAAATGGGCTTCCCTGGTGGCTCAGCAGTAATGATTCAATTCAGGAGCCACAGTAGACACAGGTTCTGTCCCTGAGTCAGGAAGATCCTGACGTGGCAGGCATGGCTACCCACTCCAGTACTCTTGCCCGGAGAATCCCATGGACAGAGGAGCCTGGTGGGCTACAGTCTGTGGGGTCGCAGAGTCCCACACGACTGAGCAATTGAGTGAGCACACATGCCTATTAAAAAGGAAGTTATTATTTTTTTCTTTAATTTAGCACAGAAGCCAAAGATGTTTTTCTTCACTTACAATGGAGACTGGGGAGAATACAACAGTGAGCAAAACAGAGAAGAATCCCCACATACGTGAAGCATCTGGAGACAACAGAGACAATGTACAAGTAAACACGTAAAATAAACAAGTATGACAGCCACTTGCAGCTAAACAAACCTAACATATTTAATCCAGAATCTGTGGTAAATGAACCTATATCATACCCTGAGCTCAATCCAGTGTTACATGAAACCTCCTTGGTCTAATATCCTTAGACTTTATACGCCCACAAAACATTCTCCCAGTGCCAGCATCTCCTTGGGAAGGAAGGGCCAACGAGGCTGTATTTGCAGATGTTGGACTCAACTGTTGTGGGAAGGAACTGCCACAGTTGGGGTTAAAAACAACAACAACAACTGTAATCAGGTAATGTTCTGGAAACAGGCAGGGCAGACACAGGGTACCCACAGGAAACAGAAAGCAACAAGTCCCATCTTCTATCCTAGCCTCGCAGTCTTCCTCTAGCGCTTCCTACTGGCAAAGCTACAGCATCAGGTGGCAAAGAAGTATTGTGGTTTGCCAAGGAACAGTTCAGCACCATAAAGCCAAGTTTAGAAGGCTGGATTTGGGGTTGGATGAAAAGATCTTAATGGACACAATGAATTAAAACTTCTTTGGGAAAAAACCACATTAAGTATGTAACATAGTGTAACCACCATTAACCTGTATTTATTCCTCTATTGATGAAGCTTCCTTAAAGGTCACTCAAGAACTGCTGCTTGAGTGCCAGCTCTTTAGCGACCCCATGGACTGTAGCCCACCAGCCTCCTCTGTCCAAGAATACTGGAGTGGGTTGCCATGCCCCTCTCCAGGGGATCTTCCTGACCCAGGGATGGAATCTGGGTCTCCTGCTTTGCAGGCACATTCTTTACTGTCTGAACAACTAAGGAAGCCCCAGTTGATCTTTCAACAGGGTAGAAGAAAGAGACTATATGCCACAGAGGAAGACACGTATATAGGAGATCTGATATCCAACATGAAATTAAAATGTTTTGTTTTTTTATCATTACTTAAAAAAAAAATCACAGCCTAGTGTTAGCCTATGCACTGGGGGAAGTCGAGGTAAGGTCACTGTCTAAACTAGGGAGAAGAGATAGGAAAGAGCAGCGGTGACCTGGGGAGCTCATTGGAAGCCAGCAGCAGGGGCCCAGGGGTGGGAAGTGACTCAAAGGGGACAATGTGGGTAGGGTTGGGGGGGGTGAGTGGACAGTGAGGAGCTGGTGTTAAGCTTCTGCCATTATGTACTTAACAAATATTGAAATATATGAATAGGAGAGTCCCAGAGAGTATTTGAAGAGGCAGAATGAGTAGATGGACTTTTGGGTATCAGAGGATGGAGACATAATTTGGGTATAAAAGAAAATGTGACCTTATTTTGTTGTTAACAGTCAGTGAAATCTGAAGCCATATTAGTTACATAATCATCTCTCAGTGAATTATCTTGGGGTTTTTACTCTATATCCAAGTATGCCTTCATTGGCTAGCACTCAAGCAATAAAGATGAACAACTGATCTAGTTTCTGCTATTTAATTATGTTAGTGGCCATTGTTTTAGGATTACATTTTTAGCATGTTAATGTTATCTTTACTTAAAAAAAAAAGAGAAATGAATGAATCTCATAAAACTGAGTATTGTTTTCTACTCTGATCTGTTAATAGGCTAAATTACTATTTGATCTTGAGTAATCATTTTTAAAAGGTACTTCTTTTAAAGACTTTGATATGTAGCTAGTGAAGGGGGATTTGGCAGTATGCTATCACAGCAAGTATTGGGATTTCTTTTTCTTTATGCTTTGAATCACTTTAGATAGCATAACAATGATCCTATTGAAGATCTAAATGAAATTTTTGACATATAACCATCTGTGCAAAAAATGTTTTTGAGTCATCAACCATAAACAGTATTTTCATTATTATTTTCCAGATATTCCAGTATTTTGACTTGATCAAATAATTATTTCTAAATGAATTTTGAACTTCTAAGTAATTGTTTTTGTTGTTATTATTGTTTCTGTATTTCATCTTATTTTTAGTTTTATTACATGGTGGATATAGAGCACATTTTCATATCGGTCCAAATTGTGTTGTATCTGACAGATAGCAATCGAAATATTTAACCCATGATTTATCTGTTCTCTAATTTCATTATAGACGAGCTCAATTTTTCTTTTTCATTTCCTTAGGTTTTGTTGTGTGTTGTGTGACACGTTAAACACGTCCCAGAAATGTTTATTACCATGTTTCTTTACAAATATCTAATTGTATTAATTTATTTATGTTTGGCTGTGCTGGGTCTTCGCTGCTGTGTGGGCTTTTCCCTAGCTGTGGTGTGCAGGCTTCTCACTGCAGTGGCTTCTCCTCTCGTGGAACATGGGTTCTAGAGCACAGGCTCAATACTGTGCGCACTGCGGCATGGGGCATCTTCCCAGATCACAGAGTGAACCCACGTCTCCTGCCCTGGCAGGCTGATTCTTTACCACTGAGCCAAACCTTGAAAGAAGAATCTACATGTTTTGCAATGATTTTGTAGACTATTAAAATACTTGTAACTTATCTCTTTCTGCTTAAATCTGCTAGTGAATTCTGTTCTCCAAAGATACAAGTTATGGGGGTATATCTGACATAGAAGTTAAAGTCTATCCATGCACACAACTGGCATAATGAAAATGGAAAGCAAAGCAATTTGGAGAACTAGAATTTCTACATGGACCATATTTAGATACTATTGTTTAATCAATGTATATATAATTTCAAAAAGTGCTCTGGTGGGTGCTCATCTTTAAAGGAAGGACTCAGGAAAACACAACAAAATGAACCAAGACTCTAACAACCTCACATTCAAGGAGTGAAGTAACAACAGGCCAGGGACATTATTTTATTCTACCTTTTGAACACCTTTTCTATAGCCGTCTCCTGCTTAAGACAAATGAAACAGATACTCAGGTTTGTTTTTCTATAAAATTCAATAATTATTTTTCCAAAATGGAAAGTTTATATATTATTTTTAGAATCTGTTTTATGCATTAGAAATAGCACAGACCTGAATACTTTTCAAGCTAGGTTAGGGTGGTTGGTATTAAACTTACAAATAAATTTTCTTGCTTGCAAAGAACTTAAAAGCCATTCTTCTGAGTTTTGTTATTAGAAGGAAATATTAGTTTCACTATACAAACTGAAGTCCCTTGGAATGTTGCAAAAAGCGTCAATGTGAATATCTCCAAATCCCGGAAGGAATCTGAACCAGTGAAATACTTTTGACCAAATAGATGTCCAAAAACCGAGTTACGCTTGGATAGGAAGCTGGGCATTTTCTTTCCTTGTTGAACTTAAATTTGCCATGAATTGTATTGTATATTCAATCACGAACAATCCAAAATAATAGGATCATACACCATTTTAAATCCATAAACATGAGACTCTGGAATGAGAAGCCAAATTGTTATACAGATAAGCTAGGTAAACTCTCACCAGTGACACCTGACCTGCTCTTTTTTGCGACTCAGACCTCTACTGTTACTGCTGTAGAAAAGGCACAAACTTCAAGTAAAGGATTATCATTGCCTTTTCAATGGCAATTGTTAGCTACCTAAAGATATGAAAAAAATTTTTTTTTGGTTTGGAATCGACTAAAGATGTAGTATCTAAAATCTCTTAAAATCCTTAAATTCTACCTCTTTTTATGATCACAGTGCCATGGACTGACTCTGAGATTTAATTTCTCCCACCCACTGCAAGACGTGTAGCATCTAAATACTAACTTTAACCAACAAATTTCTTCCAACTTCACAAGGAAAAAATATTGTTTTTATATTTCTTTAATTTTGGATCAGTTTGAGAAGATGGAGGTTTACTAAACTGATTGTGGTCATCATTACATGATGTAAGTCAAATCATTATGCTGTCTATATACCTTAAACTTATACAGTGCTGTATGTAGTATCTCAATAAAACTAGAAATTAAAAAAAAAAACAATAGGAAAAAAACCAAATTCTTTCCACTTGTTTCCTGGGTCCTAAAAACCTGATCCTTATTTACTTGTCTGCATTTTATTCCATCATGCCTGGTACTCCTGATTTTCCAGAAATGTGGTGGGTTGCATTGGAAGTCCATGGAATGGGGTGAATTTATGATTATGATGTTGGTTAGAATGCAGAACATGGCTATAGGTGCATTTTGCTCTTGCATCAAAACATGTCAATTTAAGGTCATCTTTTAAAAATCATAAAATATTTAGGTATACAAAAATTACAGATTGTATTACAATCAGTATCTGTATTCCCATCACTCAGTTTAAGATATAAAACATTTCAACTTTTCTCCTCTGGGGAAGTTCTTCTCCAATACTTAGTGTTTGGTTTCCATTCATGTAGTGTTCTACTACACGTCCCCTTAAACAACATATTATCTTGCATGCCTTAAAACTTTAAATATTAAATATCCTTCCGAAACATTCTTTTTGAGATTACTATTTTACATATAGCTATTTTATTTTACTGCCATAGGTACTGCATTGTATGAGTATTTCATAGAAATTCCTTCTCTTACTGATGGATAGTAAGATTGCTTCCAGTTTCTTACTACTTACAATTAATGGTAATATGATTTTCGCATTCATTACCTCGTTGAGTAACTTGCTCTGAGTTATACACTTGGGAGAACCATTGGGATTATAGGGTTTTCAACACTACTAGTTATGCTAGTAGCTTTCTGAAGTGGCTGTACCAATTTATACTCCACCAGGAGAGTGTGGCGGCCCCACGGGCCCTTTGGGATTATAAACTCTGCAAGCAGGGTTTTGGGGTTTCCCTGGTGGCTCAGTGGTGAAGAATCTGCCTGCCAATGCAGGAGACACAGGTTCAGTCCCTGGGTTGGGAAGATAGATCCCCTGGAGAAGGAAATGGCAAACCACTTCAGTATTCTTACTCTTGCCTGGAAAGTATTCTTATTCTTCCTATGGACAGAAGAGTCTGGTGGGCTGCAGTCCAGAGGCTTGCAGAGTTGGACACAACTTAACGACTAAACTACAACAAGCAGGATTTTAGCTTTTTAATTCAAGGCACAGACCAAGTCAAGAGAAGTTCTCTGTGGTCTCCCTGGCTTGTGGGAGGATGTAGTCTGTTCTTACACTCAAGGTGTTGGTCTCTAAAGATCTGAACATTATGTATGAGGCCCAGTCACAGCTTCAATGTCATATGGGCTAAAGGGTCTGAGCGGCCATAAACATCTAAACTCCTTGTAGCAATTGTCTTTCTCCCGCCTCCAGCACCCAGCTCCCAGTCTGAGCGCCTCAGTGTTGGTTCAAGCTTCCTGTTCTTGTTTGCAGTTTATCGGCAACAGGTTAGGCCTGTGGGAATAAGTTTTTCTCCCATTTTCTTGTATCGTAGCACTTGAAGAAGTTACAGTCTCTTAATAACTAAAGGTATAGCGGGAAGCACGAAAGGAACTTCGAGGTTATATTTATTTCAATGTGTAAGCCTCATTTTCTAATCAGCAGAGTCCAACAGATCTTTCTGAGCAATGGAAATGTTCTACAATCTAGTCTGTCCAATATGGCAGACACATGTCACATATGGCCTTTGAACACTTGAAATGTGGTTAAGAGGTCTGATGAACTAAATTTTAAAAATTGCTTTCTTTCTCTTAAAAAAAAAATTATTTATTTGGCTGTGCTGGGTCTTAGTTGTGGCATGTAGGATCTAATTCCCTCACCAGGGATAGAACCTGGGTCCCCTGCCTTGGGAGCATAGAGTTTTAGCCATTGGACCACCAGGGAAGTCCTCTACATTTTTACTATTAATTAATTTTAATTAAAATCTCAACTTAAGTACCAACATGCCACTATTTATTTGATGGCACATTTCTAAATTCTTCATCCCTTGGGCGATTTTATGTACTAGTAAACCAATGTAGTCTGACAAAAAAACTCTTATAAAATCTACTTTTGAGAGTCAAAGTTGAGACACGACTTCAGAATATCGACCACCACAAAACTGTATAGCTCTGTTATTTTCATCATCAGGTATTTCTCACCTGAATGGTCTTTCTGGGAATTTTCAAAGACCTACAGTGACTGGGTTTAAGTGCCATTCTTTACCATCACCAGCTTCTGAACTGGAAGTCAAGCAATCAATTTCCAACAGCTTTTTCAAGGATATTTATGGATTATTAAAGTGTCAAGAAATTTCAAGAATAAATAATTTGGAGCATAAACACAGATATTTAGAATGTAATGTAAAACAAAATGATTAACAGTACAAGTTGATTTTTCTTTGAACTGAAGTTTATTGGTAACCTGGAAATGAGTACAAGTTAAAACATGAACACCTCATATAGTTTATTTATAGTATTTTCATGAAAAAAAAAAAAAAACCCCAAAAAAACCAAGTACTTCTCTAGACCTGGACTGAGCTTATATTTTCAATTTTTTAAACTTTCAAAGGGCATTATAGTGTATTAAATAACTCTCAATTCTTTGTTTCATTGCCACGAGTACAGGTTAAGAAGGCTAATGCCAAAAATGTATGTATGAATTATGAGAATAAATATGGAATGGGAAACAATGGGCTGGCCTTCAAAATTAAAGATTTGTGAATATTTTAAACCGTGCTTTCAACTACATGCATTTTCTGCGTTCATGTATAACACTGATGCCCACAGTTTTGTTTTTTGGAAAAGCACTGAAATGGATTCTGAAGAAAGGAAAGCACCATGGGAGGAATAAACCAGGTCAATAATGAAAATACACAAGTTTTATTTTTAAAACTCAGCACACATTTCTAGATAAAACTAATTTTAACTCTTGTCCAGAGATTTTCATGGATATTTTCATTGCAACCATATGACTATGTCTGTAAGAATGGAAGCCCCTCAATCTGGTCAACATATTTCAGACATTTCACTTATTAAAGGCTATTTTGACACTATTTTGAAACAATCTTTCTCTATGAAGGATTTTTAGCATAATGAATGTGCATATTCTCTCAGAGTGTATGCAGCCCACTCTTCTCTTGATAATCTTCATAGAAACGTCTCAATGATTCAGGAAGTCTGGGTGTCACGGTGCTCAGGGCTTGAGTAAAGTGTCTTTTCATAATGCAGTTGGCTGCAATGTCTTCTTCCAGAGCCAGCAGGGCTGCCTCTCTACAGACAGCTATGATCTGACACAAAACAAACAGAAACAAAAATAGGATAAAAAGGAATATACCAAAAAAAAGAAAACAATCATACTGTTTTTTAGAAATGTTCACATTTCAGATATTCATCTATGGTTAACATCTACAACTACAAACTTGTCCACATTGATCTTTGAGAGTCATTCCATTTGAGTTTTCAGAAGGATAAGAAGTAATCACTTTCATTTCAAAACAATATATTGACTACTGAGATCTAGGAGGCAAATAGATGTTACGTTATGGCATTGGTGCTTAGGAGCTTACAGTGGAAAAGGTACAGGCACAGACCTCTTCTCAGGTGACTCAGTGGTAAAGAAGTTGCCTGCAATGCAGGAGACGTGGGTTCGATTCCTGGTTTGGGAAGATGCCCTGGAGAAGGAAATGGTAACCCACTCCAGTATTCTTGCCTGGAAAATTCCATGGTCAGAGGAGCCTGGTGGGCTACAGTCCATGGGGTTGCAGAGAGTCGGACAGGACTGAACACATACACTTCAACATGGACCTCTAACACAGGAAGACAAAGGGCGAGTATGCGTGCGGTGGGGGAGGTGGGAGGAGACCAGTGATAAGGGCAGGGCCGAGGAAGGAGACGGATGGAGAGCGAGGTCCCACACATCAGCACACCTTGTCATAGCATAGAATTTCCACATTCCTTTCCACCTTTGATCTATTACTGACATGTAAAAGCATTTCTTTATGTGCATCTCCTTAATGAGTCCTTAAATCTTAGGAATATCAGATAGAGTTGTCTCCGTTTACTTTGGAGAGCTGCATTAAAACAGAGAGGTGAATTCTGTTTACTCAGCGAGGAAAGCTGGGAGAATTGAAAAGAATCTGGGGGGGGGGGAGTGGAGGGGATGCTGGCGGAGGGAGGAGAGAGTGGGCGGTAGGAAAACGGAAGGGAGGAAGGTTCCAGTCTTGAATCCTGAAATGTGTTTTAAGCTCTCTGGACTTTAGACAGCGGAAGCGGGCTGATGCCAGTGTCATTCTAAAGACACATTACTGTGGTGAAAAGAGCTTGGTGGATGAAAAGAGATATTGTGATTTTCAGGGCAACAGGGAAAACAGTGATTGATATTGACTGCACCCTTATATCGGTAAATGAAAGGGCCAGCTGAAACACATTTGTCCAGCCATTCAGCATATTTTCTCTGTTTGTTCACTTACTGAAAAGAGCTCCTCTGCTTATGCTGGGCTAATGGCTGCCAAAGCAGTTTAGTAGCTTTTTAGGGGATTTAGCAGCATGTTTAGGGAGCTTTCAAAAAACATGCATAGATTTAGATGGCTTTGTCAAATTACCACAATGTAACTGTTAGTTCTGGGCTTCATTAATGAGCACTGAAGTTGACTATAGTGGTTATGCATGTTAATGCTTTTCCCAAAAGAATGGCTACCGACTTGTTGAAGGAAGAAACAAAACTTCTAGGGATTAGTGAAAAAAACCTCATCACACATGCTGGTGCAAAAAGGGCTATTTTGAAAATGGGATGTGATATTTAATAAGCACAGTGAAAGCACATAAAATGCCCACATGGTAAACTGGTTCCACTGTGTTCCAAAGGGATCCTGGCGACCTCTATGAGGAGGGAGCGGGACTGAGTGGGGAGAGCCTGGTGTCCTCCTAGCCCCTCCATCTGAGCAGCACTTCTCTCATGTGTGTAGGAATCTGAAGCAATGGCTGCAAGGCTGAAAAGCTGGAAGCCAAATCACTGGGAGAGGCAGAGAGGAAGGGATTAACCACTCGCTGGTGCAATTCCAGCTCCTTCTCTCAGAACAGAAAATGCTTCCTTTGTGTGGCTCCCTCCTCAGGCTAAGTGGAGTAGAGAGGTTACCACCCCATGGCCAACGCCTTGTCTTACACACTTTACCTCATACCTCGGAGAACACTGGACCCAGCATGAATGGCTACAAACATCTACTGAGTACCTACTATGTGTGCTAGACAATTACTAATGACTTTACGAATTAACTGCTATGAGACCAGTGCTCCGAGGTTTCGTACATGCAGTGATCTCATAGTAGAGGTAGGTGTACAAAGTCTGAAACCAGCAAATGGTGTGGTGGTGTGTGGGGGGGTAGGGAGGTTGGGGTGAGGAAAGAAGGGGAGGTGCAAGGCTGCCTGGAACCTCTCAAAATTCCTAGAACTCAGCTCATGTGGCCAGATGGCAGGTGGCTAATAGCACTGGCACATTTGAGAAAATGAACCCACAGTCTAGTATGGCTTCTTCTCTCAAGACACAGTAATCAAATAGGGAGAAGAAATGATTATACTCCTCTACTAACTGGAATCTTGGGTAGCCTAACATGGCAAGGTAGGTAAATACAGGGAGTGGGAAGTGAGTCACTGAGGCCTTAGAGGCTGTCCTTGGGATTGGTTCCCTTGAGCAATTCCTCTTGCCCGTTCTTCATATCCGCATCTACAGATTTTCCTCTAAGCTATAGATTGCTTTTTGCCTTCAGCTTCCATGGCAGTGACAGAGGGGACACAGGTGGTGGTTAGAGCACTGACTGCCATTTGAAAGCTGGATGCTTAGTGACTTGGGGCCTCCGGTATGTGCTAACATTTCATAGTAATTGGTCTACTATATTTAGTACTGGCCTGACCCTTGATTAACAATTTCTATAGAATTGTGAGATACAGAAAACTTGAACAGAGTTTTGACTAAAGCACTAAGAAATGTTTGGTTTCGACCGAGATGACCTTTAGAATCTCTGGAAGATGACGACAAGGGAAACAGCAGCTGAATACTGGTGCTCAAGCACCTCATAGGAAGCTGTCCTCCGCTGTGTAGAAGGGGCCCAGCTGTTCATGATTCAAAGATGGCTGAGGGCTTGCCTGAATTCTACACTTGCTTCAAGAAACCTTATCCTGTTGCTTTTTATTTACAAGGGATGTCCTGAAGAACCAGCCAACTAGGCAATCCTTTCTGCCACTTCTATTTTCCTATCATATGTGCTTAGCAACATACAACAAGTAACAAAGAGGAAACAAGCTCCACTCATAATTAACCAGTCACTCATCAACCAACACTCACTGTACAGCTACTATGCAACAAGTAGGTGAGGCCATGGAGGATCCAGAGACACAGAAAACAAGGTGTTAGGAGGTACTGCTGGCAAGCAAAAGGAAAGTGCTTTGGTGCGGAAAGAAGGAAGAAATTACTGGTTCATAAACTGGAGTGGGAAGGACAGAATTTAGATATGGACATAGGACAAGAAAGGAAATGCTGAGTGGAAGAAATAAAGTGAGCAAGGTGGGGAGAAAGAGACCCGGAATTACATGGATCTGGAGAAGGAAATGGCAACCCATTCCAGTATTCTTGCCTAGAGAATCCCATGGACAGAGGAGCCTGGTGGGCTGCTGTCCATAAGGTCGCACAGAGTCGGACACGACTGAAGCGACTTAGCATGCATGCATGCATTGGAGAAGGAAATGGCAACCCACTCCAGTATTCTTGCCTGGAGAATCCCAGGGACAGAAAAGCCTGGTGGGCTGCCGTCTATGGGGTCACACAGAGTTGGACACGACTAAAGTGACTTAGCAGCAGCAGCTTCAGTATCCAAAAATGGAGGGGAAAAGAGTAATTCTATCATTAAAATGTCACTAAAAATAATGATAGTTTTTAGAAGTCCTGTGGGCCATAATGACAGTGAATGGTAGTCAATGATAAGTCATCTCTAAACCCAATTCAAAAGCCGCTGATGCACTGGCAGTTGACAAGAGCATAACCCCTAAAAGTGCCTTTGTTTTTACTTTTTTCCTCATAAGAGGGCTTTTTAGTAGACATCCCAGAAGGAAAAGCAGTAATCAGACTATTGGTTCTTCTCTCCTAATTCCAATAAAAAGGCCTGAAAGTGCAAGTATTCTTAGGAGGTGCATTTCATGATGACTGGGTTCTATTTGCTCTGGGTCACTTACTTAGTCATGCGTTTCAAGCTTCCATGTTTCCCAAGAGATGTGCAGCTTTCTGCTTGTTTTCATGGCCCATGCCAGCATTCCCCTTGAGATATTAGTGTCTTTTCAGAGGAAGAAGTATTTCATGATCAAATAAGAGTAATAGTATATATACTGTTTCCCACAATGCACAGTAGAATGTAAATGATTTATTAACTTTAGGGAAGCCTAGCCATGATGGTCTCCTTAATTTTCTTTAACCTGATGTTTCCCCCAGAACTCTCCATCTGTCCTCAGCTTTTGGCAAAACGCCTACAAATGGCTATCTGTAGGGTTACTGCTGATCTGCGTGCACTCTAGGAAGTGCTAACCCATAACAAACAATCCAGTCTAGGCACAACATGACTCTTGCCTATCTTACATTTGTTTTTTCCCTTTGCTCTCCCCTATTCCAGAAGAAGGGCAAAGGCTAACAGTTTTGCCAAGAGAACGCACTGGTCATACCAAACACCCTTTTCCAACAACACAAGAGACGACTCTACACATGGACATCACCAGACAGCCAATAATGAAATCAGACTGATTACACTCTTTGTATGGGCTTCCCTCATAGCTCAGTTGGTAAAGAATCCGCCTGCAATGCAGGAAACCCTGGTTCGATCCCTGGGTTGGGAAGATACCCTAGAGAAGGGATAGGCTACCCACTCTAGTATTCTTGGGCTTCCCTTGTGGCTCAGCTGGTAAAGAATCCGCCCGCAATGTGGGAGACCTGGGTTTGATCCCCGGGTTGGGAAGATCCCCTGGAGAAGGGAAAGGCTACCCACTCCAGTATTCTGGCCTGGAGAATTCCATGGACTATACAGTCCATGGGGTTGCAAAGAGTTGGACACGACTGAGTGACTTTCACTTTCACACTCTTGGTAGCCAAAGATGGAGATGCTCTATAAAGTCAGCAAAAACAAGACAGGGAACTGACTCTGGCTCAGATCATGAACTCCTTATTGCAAAATCCAGACTTGAAGAAAGTATGGAAAACCACAAGGCCATTCAAGTATGACCTAAATCAAATCCCTTATGATTATACAGTTCA